TAGGGACATGGTGTTGTCTATGTATCCACACATGTATCTGATCCTATCAATACAATTATAGCATGGATAATAAACGATTATCATGAACAAGGAAATATAATAATAACCAATTTATTATTGCCTCTAGGGCATATTTCCAACAGTAAGTTTTTGTAGAAAGCTAATTTTATTATGCTATGACATGTTCAACAACTGGGAAAACATGCATCATATGAATTCAAGTAACCTTAGGAACTGGTTACAGATATCAACATAGATGGAGTGGGCTTCAACCCAACTCAATCATGTCAAGTCCTTTGACTTGACCCAAGTGGTTCTTCCCACGTATCCAAACACACACACTGGTTTGTAAATAAGTGGACGTAGCCCAAGAGCGGTTACCCAACTTTCCTTGACCGTGGACACAACTATTCGAATAGTTTCACACTCTGCAGAGGTTGCACACTTTACCCACAAGATCCGGGGAACTTTCGTGTCATCCACGACCCGCGGTACCTCAAGTACCCGGGTAAGCACCCGATCACTATCTTTCCCTAGACGACACTAACATAGAGTCCACTTGATTGGTAGTAACCCCCGTGCCCAACATTTCACATCTTAAAATTGTGGAGCCTCGCTCCCATATTCATCACATACCACTGGCACGGGGTACCAACCGTGTGTCCGGTGCCCTGTAAAAACAGTAATGGCCGCCCTACCTGGCACGACCCCATCCCGAGAGAGCGCGTAATGCGGGCTCCAAGCTAGTATCGGCCTAGGTAATCAATAATGCCCTTTCCCATATAACGGTAGAGTGGTTGTGCATGTAAGGTTGGAATAACGGTCGCAACTTAAACCAATCCATTTTGAAAACATCACACACACTTGCCTCGGTACACCACTTCGTCATCAAGTGGTTACCCAACTCATTATCTCCTTCGGGCATAAGTGGCACCTGGCGGGTTTCTTTAAAAAGTCTTTTAAAAATACTTTGTCTCCATCACCATGCATATACCCGTCCCATTTGCATAGCATCTACTTTAGTATCCTATCTACTCCCACCGGCACAACCCTCATAAGAAGGTAGGGTCATGCACAATGCAAGTATCAACGAGGAAGTAACAGTAGCAAACCACCCCATGTGGTCACCTCATCATCATGTCTCCGATGCAAGCAATAAAAGTGCTATATGACATGCATAAAAAGGTTTTATAGACATGGTCAAAGGGCTGCTTGCCTTGGTTGGCTTGGTCTTCAAAGTCTTCAAGTCCTTCTCCTTCTTCTTCTCCAACTACTTCGTCAAACACGGGATCTATTCGTCGCAATAGAAACAATAGAGAAATAAGGCAATAATAAAAACAGAAAAGTCAACCTATTTTTGTTAAATACTAGGAGGAAAACTAAGAAGGGGAAAATTCTTAGTTTTGGATTTGGAGCTACAGGGACAGAGTAATGACTTTTCAAACAGGGATTTAATTGCTCAAATTTGAATTTAAATTTGAACAGTACAGAAGAGTTGGTTGGGCATGTATGAAAGCTACACCATCGAATAGGTGGGATTTTTACAAGATTTTTTGAACTAGAATTATTGCATTTGGATTAATATTTAATCCTGTGGAATTTTTGGAAAAGGGACAAAAAAGAAAAAGAGAAAGGGCACTGTGCCCGCTGGGCCAGAACAGCTGCAGTGCAGCAGGCCCAGAGGGGAAAAGGCCCAGGAGAGCCAGCGCGCGCGCCAGAATTTCAAGCCTGACAGGCGGGGCCTGGGCGTCAGCGAGAGAGAGAGAGAGAGGGGTGAGGGAGAGGTGAGGATGACAGGTGGGCTCCACCTGTCATCTCTAACCTCACGACAGAGAGGTCGGCGAGCCCACCGGCGACGCTACAGGGCACGGCAGGTCGAGCAGGTGGCACCGTTGGACTCAGGGGGATGTCGCCGTTCGGGTGATGGTGGAGGTGGTCGCCGGTGGTTCCGGCCGTTCCCGGCAGCAAAAGAGCGGGTAAGAGAAGGGGAAGGGTCAGTGATGCCGTGCGGTTCCAGATCGAGAGAGAGTGGGGGCGGAGGAGGCCTGTACTGCGCGAACGCCGACGAGCCGAGCCGGCGGAGCTCGAGCTCGATCTCGAGCTCAGGCGGCTCTAAAGACAAATGGGTGGTGCGGGAGGTTGATTAGGAGTGTGGGGGAGCGACAGGGAGTGAGAGAGAGACTCGGGGTCGCCTTATATAGGCTGACCGAGGTCCACCGTTGGCGCGACCTACGGGCATCCGCGGGATCGGCTCGGGTGGCCGTTAGAGAGGAAATGAAGGGCTCGGGGGTGTTTGTGGGAGTGGTTTAGGGTGCCAAGGAGGGAGAGGAGGTGGGACGAGCTGTGGGCGGGCCACACGAGCGGCGCGAGCATTGGCCGAGTGGGGCGGCGCTCTGGCGCGAGCTACAGTAGAGAGGGGAGGGCGCGGGAGCAAGTGGGCGGCCTGCTAGCGTGGAGCGGATGTCGAGGGGCATCGATTGGCGTGCGGGGGAGGCTCGAGGTGGTCGGAGGCACGGCGTCAACGGTCGGGTGCCCTGCCAGGCGCTCCAGAGCGCGACTTTGGGCCGGCAATCCATGGTTTTCCCGCGTCCACTTGCGTCTAGCAGCTGCAGGGGGCGTGGGAAAAAGCTGGGGAGAGCCTTGGATGCTCCGGAAAGCTGAGGGGAGAGAAGGAGGCTGAGGGAGAGGGAGGAATCCACTGTTCAGAGAAGAAAAATGGGGTTCTCCCCCCCTTCATCATTGCTTCCTCGGGCATAAAAGCATGAAGGTGCTAGAGGGGGACTAGGAGGGATTGTGGTAAAACTTTGAGCCCATGGAGATTAGTGGAAGGGGTCAGAATGGTGTTTTTGGAAATGTGGCAGAAGGTGTTTGTTGTTGGTTTGGGCAAGAAAATGAATTACACTTGCCATGAGACTCCACAGGGTGAAATGGAACATATAATTAGGGCCTTCCACCAATTTTGAGCTCATTTAGGCAAAGTTGCCAATGAAACTTTTGTAAACCCTAGAAATCAACAGAAATGCATTTACCAAGATATAGTCATGCAAAACCAGTCCCATTGATGCACCACTTGGTGTAGTGTCATCATTTGGGCTTTTGAGCATGACCACAAAGTTTGGGGGCATTTGGAATAAGTTGGCAATGTAGAGTTGTTCAAACTTGAATATGGACAGAGATGGTTTTGGGGCACTTTGGTGAACCAAAATAGTTTGGATTGAGCTGAAACTTTGCATGGTCATCATATTATGCATATGTGACCTGCTAGAATTGTCCTGGATTTATTGGAAAATATTTCTTGTAGAAATATTTCAAATACTTGAAATGCACAGAAATTGTTTTGGAGGGTTTTGTCCAATATTTTGAACATGACCATGTGCTTAAACTCTTACATATGGAAAATATATGTCCATTGAGTTTCCCTGATTTTTCTCAAATATTTTTGAAGCATTTAAATAATGTTAACCTATTAAATACCATTTCTTGCCTAAAGAAAAAGCCTTTAAATAAAATAGGAAAATTAATTTTAAAATTATATTTTTGTTGTTTATGGAGGTCCTATATCCAATAGGTTTCAATTATACTCTTTGAAATATTTTTCATACCCCAAATCAAGTACTTGTAGTGCAAACCTCAATTCAGGGGTTTTTGGAAAACTAATTTTTGAAAATACTATTTGGCCAAATTATTTTTGTAAGAAAATACTATATTGCACTATACACATGGCATGATCATTGGGCAGAAGTTTGGGGTAGGGAGATGAAGTATATAAAGTGGAGTAGTTGGCTTTAAAGAGCACTTGAAAATCACATAGAGAAAACCAACTCCAAATAAAAAGCCAAATAATGCAAAAGTTTTTGTTGGTCCAAATTTTCATGCTTTATTAATGCAAATGACATGTTACAAAATGCAGGGTGTGACAATAACCCTGCCTAGACCCGTCGACCAAGAGGACGAAATGACTAGATCTTGAGCAAGGTAGATCGGCGGCGGCCCCGCTGCCCGCCTAGATGTAGCATCCACGTCGGATCCATCAGTGGCCTTCCCATGGCGGTGATGAGTGCAAGAAACCATCGCAAGGTCATCACACACCGACGGGAGAGGAGATGGCGGTTCCGGGACCTTGGATCCGAGGAATGGGTTGTAGGCACCAAGGCGAGGCAGCACACATCCTTGCCGTCACCATCCTCCGCCAGGCTTGCCCGGCGGCCTCCAACAATGACGGCGAGGGAGGGAGTAGCAGAGACGAAGGCTAGGAGCGACGGTGGCTGCTACCTTCGGAGTGGCTATGTGTTTGTAACCATGGGTGAACTGATTGTTGGTAACTTTCGGTATTTATCTATGTTAAATTGGCTTGCACATACCGACCGCTAGCTTACTTACCCGGTGCCCTCTTTTCTTCTATAAGAAAAACAACGCAGCCACAAACATGGGCTTCATGACGGGTGCGGCGTGCCGCCGCACCTCCACCTTCTAGTAGCAGATTATTTCAGCTATAAGTCCTGGGTTCTAAGAGATCCTAGAAGATATCCTGCAGATATCTCTGTTAAGCATTGGAAGGCCTGTCGGTGACGGTGAGCCAACTTTGTGCACAAAAAAGAATCAGGTGTAACCTTGATGAACCCTTTCTAAGGTTCACACCATCTCGCTAGCCCTATATAAAGGGAGGAGAGGTCCGCACAGCGGATCCAAATTCTACATGGTCAACATCATCATCAAGCTTAGGACTAGATACAAACCCTAGTCGTCGAGTTGCCTCCAAACTCGCCGGGTTGACCATTGTACCATCGGACAAGAACGATCGAATAACACGATGGTACGTATTTACACCAATCTGTATGTATGAATAGATGACTACAAATAATTAACAAGAAAAATCAACATCGGCTCTCTTCAACTTAAAAAGATAAAGCATACGTGAAAGATCTAAAGAGGAGAGGTAGTAACTATGTACATGTCCCCAGAAAAAAAACGCTTTACAAGTTCTTGAACTCCTTGTGCCTTCAAATCTTGTTCTGGATCTTGGGTGCCACAACGAGAGGGTTCTGCTGCGCGATCTTCTCACGGCCGGCCTTCTTGTAGTCGAAGTCGCACGCATGCCCGTCCACGTAGCGGTGCAGCGAGCAGAAGGTGCCGCCGCACCGGCACGCGAACCCCAGCAGTCCCACCTTCTTCTTGCACGCCATGCACCTGGTCGGCTTCTTCGCCGGTGTCTCGGCGGCCGGCCCCTTGGCAGCACCAGCTGCAGAGTGATCCTGCAGGCTCAGCGACGTCTTGAGGTTGAAGGCGAGGTTGGCCACGTCGTCGGCCTTGACCGTCGTCTTCCCCTCGACGGCGGGGGCAACCATGTCGGTGGCCTTGAGGTGGTCGCGGTAGCACTTGGAGCACATGTTCTCGGTCGCTGCGTTCCCGTAGAACCCGCAGCCATTCGCGCACAGCGCGGCGGCCCCGGCGCCGGCGGCCTGCGTCGACGACGACTCCTGCCCGTGCGCCATGTGCTATCAGCGCCGATCTTCTGATCGAAAAGGACGCGATCGATCGCCTGTCGTTTGGTTGCTCTTCGTCCCTGTGCGTGGCTTCTCTCTTGACGAGGCCCCGAGGGCGTCCTCCTGTGGGCTTTTAAGCGGTCCCGCTACGCCGGGTGACCAGAACAGCGTGTCACCGGCGAATTCGGACACGGAAACAGATTTCCAATCCTGGTCGGTCCACACCATACTACGGTTTTCAGTTTTGAACGTGTCCGTTCATTGTCATGAGATATAAACATTCTACTATATCTAGGAAAAATCTACATAGTCTAGCCTGCGTAAATCAACCATTGTCCCGTACACCACAAGTTTTGAGGCAGCAACGCTACTCTTCTTTTTTATCTCTGAATTCTTATAATTTGGTAAAATTAAACCGGTAACAAACTAGATAAGCAAGGACAAAATACCCTGGCAACTGGTTTTTACAACCACTGACATTTCTCTATGAAATAACTGGTCACTTGGTAGAACTTAAGTGGCAAGCGCAGAAAAATAATATGACAACTAGTTTGTACAACGACTGACAAGCTTTATGAGACAACTAAGTGTAGTTGAACAAATAAGCGAAAAAACACACAATGACAACTAGTTTTTAGAACAACCGACAAGTTTTATGAACCAACATGGCAATTGAACATAATTAAACTGATAAGTACAACAAATCACCACGACAACAAAATTTTCCCTTACAATAATGGACATGCTTTATGAGAAAACACGGTAACTAGGTAGAATTAAAATGACAAGCATAGACAAATATTGTGGCAACTAGATTTTTGTAAGTACTGACAAGCTTTATGAGACAATACAATAACTAGGTAGAATTAAAATGGCAAGCACAACAAAACATTGAGGTAACTGAATTTTATAAGTACCGACAAAGTTTTATAAAATGACATGACAGTTTGGTAGAATTAAATTGGCAACCAGCTAGGCAAGTACTTCCTCTGTAAACTAATATAAGAGCGTTTAGATCACTACTTTAGTATTCTAAATGCTCTTATATTAGTTTACGGAGGAAGTAGAACAAATCATCTGTGGAACAGTTTTTGTATATGCTAATATGTTTTCTTTATATGCGCTTAAAAATCGTCAACAATATATGATTTTTTTCATAAATTTATAATACCTAAATAGTTCATCCCCATTACCTTATTTCTCTTGACATGCAGCTTATCCACATCACTATCAACATGCAGCCATCCACGTCACTCCACCTCAACAGTCTAGTCACACCATCAATTCCAAGTACCCTTCATATTCTTTTTTTCCTTGAGAAAATGCCCTTCATATTCCTATGATTGCCTGTCTGAGTAGGTAGTAGTTATCGTGCATGGGTTGGACATTATTACGTGGGTTGCGTTCTCATTGGTTGGTGGGTGCCCATGAGAAATAATCAATACGCCGTGTCCATCTTCGGCATTGCGTTTCAGTCTACCCTACCTTATCGCCTGCCAAGTCCACCAGCCTGACAGCTCCGCCGCCCGTCCTGCCGCCACAACGGACGCACCCCGGCCAGTCCAACGACCATCCGCTGCCACTTTGTTGTTCCTTGGACAGTCTCCGTCACACCAATGCTCTCTCCCGGCCACTATTCTCAACATAACTATGCATAATTGCAGCCGGCTCTTACCATGCCTAACTACTAGTAATCCTAGTATTTAGGGGGCAATCTAATAGTATTTCATTTACGAAGTAAAATTTTATTGTGACGGTCATAGTTATGTTGCTAGCAATGGCAGAGTAACGTAGAAGTCAGGGGGCAATGCCCCCCCCCCCCCTCCCAACTAATTGTTAAAAAATGGTATCGATAAGTGCCGAATGTCC